TACACTGTGGTCACCCCCATGCTGAATCCTTTCATCTACAGCCTGAGGAACAGGGACATTAAAGGTGCCCTGAGGAGGCTACACAGCAGGATGGTCTAACCCCAGGTCCGGTAGCATAAATTTGCAATGGAGGCTAGGAAAGTCAACAAAACTAAACATGTTGAATGTAAATCACACTTTCTTCCCTCTCATTTTGTTTTTTGTAGTTTTCTGACTTTGTCTTGTTTCATAGTATAAGTGTCATTGTAGTTATGGGAGGGGGAAGGAATTTGGAGTTTTTAAAAATGGGCACAGTCTCAGTTTGGAAAGATTAATATTTCTGAAAATGGGTATTGGTGATCGCTGCACAATAAGGTGAGTGTAATTAATATTCCAAACAGTGTGTATAAAATGGTGAAAATGGTAATTTTTGTTCTATATGTCTTACCACAATCAACAAAATTTGTGACTAATAATAAAATGGAACCTGCATCAATTATTGGGATTCAAATAACTATCTCACATGCACATATTATCTGAAAATTTTCATTTGCATGATGTGGAAGGAGACGCAAGGACTTTGAAAAGATTTTCTCACCATACACTCTCTAATTTAATGATGTATGTTCCTCCCTTAGGATTAGCCATGCATGGGGTAAATAATGTGAAGCATCTGTGCATACTTCACAGATTTAAATCCACATGGCTATATAAAATACTTCATTTTGGGGGAAATAGACGCTATATATTGTGAACTAGTTAAATAAGTCTTAAGTAGTTTTTGGTAAGTCTAAAGGAAATTATTTATAGATACATGAATCAATATGGACATATATATGTCTACATAAAACTTAGACCACTGTGGGCTGGGGAGCAGCTCAGTGGATAAGGGCTCACATGACATACACAAAGCCCTAGGTTTAATCCCCATGGGTGTAATGAATATTGTTGAGAAAAATAGTAGGTAATATTAATGGGTCATTCTAAATGCCCAATAGTCATCTAAGGCAGTGGATAGCTCTCAACTCTAATGTAGAAAAAGAACACCAAGAGCATCTCATGAAGATACTCCTATTAAATTGGTTATGGTCTAATGCAAAGTATCTTATATTTTAAGATTGTTTTAGTCAACTTTTCATGACTGACAAGAAGAACTTAGAGGAAGAAAATCTTATTTTGGCTCAGTTTCAGAGGTTCGGTCCATGATGGGCTGACTCCATTTCTCTGGACCCAAGGAGGGGCAAAGGGGCATGGCAGAGGAAAGTACCTCAGGATATGACAGCCAGGAAACAGAGAGAGGTCTACTCATTGGGGATGAAATATGCATACCAAAATCATGTTCCTAGTGACCCACTTCCTCCAGCCACACCCTACCTGTTGATCCATCAAGTGGATTAGTCCACCAATTGAGCTACATCTTTCATAATCTAATCACCTCACCTATGAACATTCTTGCATTTCCTCACACATGAGCTTTTTGACATGACATATCCAAATCATAATGTTCTGCTCTAGCCACCAAAAAGCTCATGCTCATCTCACAAAGCAACATACATTGAGGCTATTTCTAAGAATCTCTACAGTCCTAATAGTTCCAGCATTGCCCCAATGTCCAAGTCCAAAGTCTCATCTGAGACTCAAGGCCAATTCTTAGCTCTAAGCCCCTTCCAACCAAGGCTACACTATAGTTGCCATGTTGCCCTAATAGTATTGAATACTATGCCAATTATTTCATTGCAAATAAATTAAATTTTGGTTCTTTTACCTTTTTTAATTACCAAGGTCTGTGGTCCCAGCCATAGGTAGCTGAAGACCTTAATAAGTGAGACAATCATTTTGACTCATGTCTCACAATAGACTCTTCATTCAGGTAATGTTTTGGATTTTCCTCTATTATTTAATGGTTTCAGAGAATTTCATGATGTAGTAACACCTTTCATGGGAAAAGTTTATGAAGTTCACAGTAGACATCTAAAACTGGTATGAAACTCTTTTATTAAGAAACATAATGGAAAGAATGCAGGGATTGTAGACACTTCATCTCTCCTATATTGACTCATAAACAGGACAATTTTGGCAACTCCCAGCTCCTTTCTGAGCCTCAGATTCCTCATCAGCTAATCAGGAGCCACAGTGCTTTCTCTCAAAGCTGTGCAAAGATTATGCATAAGTATGTCATGAGCCAGCTAAATGATAATTCCCTATCAATGAAAGCTCCTGTTATTACATTAGAGGATTTGGTTGAAATGTGCTTTCCCAGAGTTCATAAGCATCCTGATTTTATAAACTGTGATGTTCAGCATGAGACAAAGCATGTTTTTGTTTAATCCCATGTCTATAGGGCTCTGATAACCAAAGCACTTCATTGAAAGGCTTGATCAGGAGATACAATCAACAATGCTGATTAGCATAGTATTTAGTCCATATTTATGGATAATAAAGTAAAGATCTCAATATCAATATGTTACAGGCCAAGGAATAATGGAACATATGGGTTTGGAAGGCCAAAATTTATTCTTAGCATCAACTGAAAATTTTTATTAGCTGAGTGGACTGGGGCACATTTTGGAACTATCATGGCCTCAAAATACCCACTTTTAATGGTACTTAGGTGAAGGAAATCAAGGGTGAAATACAAAATGTACATGCCTGTTAAAAATTATTTACTGTCTTACAAAAAAAGGAAAAGAAAACTTGATATTCATATACCCAGTAACTTCTTTCTTTACTGGAAACTGAAAACTTGTAAGAAGATCTCTAAGTACTTCTTAAAGATTACATGTATAATTTGCATATATTTCATCATGACTGTCTAAGAGGATCTAGACTTCTTAAACAGTACTTGCAAGGCAAAGAATCATACAATGGTGGGTGAGGTTTGAAAAATTCTACAAATAATAAATGAGTAAAAGACTGATGATAGACATTTGTCATGCACATCAAAAAATGTCAGAATTTAGGATGGCTCTGTTTCTATTAAGAACATTCATTATGTGAGGGAAGATTAGGAAAAGTACTATAATTGACCAATTTTACTGCACAAACATATCTGTCCTTGGTTTCATTCAACATGTTTTTACACTATCCTATGGTGCAGAGTTTAGGGTCTAATCCTATCTATTCATTATGGAATGATGACAATTTTATAATTTTTTGCTGCCACTCATATATAGCAAAATGTCTCAACATCAAACATCCTCCTGTGCAGTGCAGCTTCATGCTCATGCTTTTGTGATTCTTTCTTCCTGTCAAATTCACCTCAATATGTATGCATGAACAGTAAATAGAATATTTTCTTCCATACACATACAGCTTATTAGGATATGTAATATGGCTTCATTATATTGCTCAGAGAAGGAATAATGCACACGTTTGTCACAATGAGCCACAAGAGTCTGTGATGGATGAAATGTGGAAGGTTTCCCAGAACTATAATTGTCAAAGTTGTATGAGAATTTATTTTATCAACTTCAATAAAAACAGGTCAAAATACATTTTCTTAAAGACTTCATTAGGTGATGACACACACACAAGTAAAATCTAAAGATAATACACCTGGAGTTTGAGGAGAACTTTCCTGATGAGTGAAAAATCAGAAACCAACATGTACACATGTTTTGGGGCTCAGGATGACTGAAGCTTAATATGGTATTGTAGTCAGACCCTGTGGCTAGGAGAGAACCAAGGGGACTCTTTTCCATTGTAGATCAAGGAGGTTCATGGTTGCATCTGAAGAAATACCTACTACAGAAGAGAGGATGATAGGACTGTTTTCCAGTTTTGTTGAAGGGAATTCTTTTCTGACAGATTGGTATCTTGGTGAGTGGGGGACCTTCCTTAAAAGCATAGGGACATTGCCATAATCTTGGGGTGCTTAGAGACCAATGTCTGGGTAAAGGCCTGGTTCTATTTCCCTGTCACCTGCTGGCTCACACTGATGGAAGCCAGCTGCTATGCCACAAGATGCCCTGTGAGAGTCCCTTTTGGTTAAAACTAAGGAAGTCCTCTGGCTACCATTATGCAAAAACCTGGATCCTGTCCAACATCAAATGAGATAATTTGTGAGAATGTCATCTTTAGTGAAGTCCTGAGATTAATGAAAACTTGGAAAACACTTTTACTGCAGACTTGTTAGACATGCTAAAATATTAGAGGACAGTATAAATGTACCAAGGAACTTGGTCAAGACCAGTAGTTTTTAATACACAAGCATATATTAAATTAACAGAAAAATTAGAATTGTGGTCTTATCCATGTTAACAAAAAGCATACATCACAAAGGAATAAGAACCACAGACCAGTAGTGTAGAAGGAAATACAGGACATTCTCCTTACAGACATAAATCTGAACTGCAAAAAAAAAAAAAAAAAAAAGGAAATTGTATCAGATTCTTGTTATGGAAGACCGAATTCTCCCTTACGTTCATGCTTTATTCAAAAGATTTGCAAAAATGGCACACATTGAATTGTTAACTAATAACATAAAAATTTAGAAATGATTTTGAATGTGTTCACAACAACAACAACAACAACAAAATGTTTTGGGACTTAGATAGGTTTCACCAGATTTGACCATTACACAATGGGTTAACATACATAAAAACAGCACATAATCACCGGTAACTATGTACAATTTTTATGTCAGCTTAAAAAAAATTGGCAATGTATATTACCATACCTCAAACCTGGCAGAGAGAACGCAGAATATAGTCAAGATTCCTGGTGAGAAATGGAAACCCGACTCTTCAAAGGACATTCACTTTTATTTTCTTCTACTTCCATGAATGTTAGTGCATCATACTCCCAATTTGAAGATAGAGATTTGCTGGAGACACTAAAAAGTAGAGCTACTCAAAGAAAGCAAGGAAAGGAAATTATTTTGCATATAAATTCCAAAGCATAGGCAACAAAAGTTGAAATCAAAAAAGGCCTCCAAATAGCAAAACAAGCATTGAAGAGATAAAAGAATAATCCACAGGATGGAGAATATATTTTTAAGTTGTATATTGGATAAGAGAAAAATATCTAAATTATATGGAAATCAAACAACTTAATAGTAATAAATAAATAACTCAATTATAAATGGGCAAAGTACCTGCATACACATTTCTAAAAAGAAGACTTACAAATTACTGACAGGAGTGTGAAACAGTGTTCAACAGCACTGAACAAAAGGGCAATGCAAATTGAAATCACCATGAGATATCACTTCACACTTGTTATCATTCACCCAAAAGATGGATGATAGCAGGCATCATGGAGGATTTGGAAACAAGACATTATTGAACAAGTGAGAATATAAATTGGTGCAGCCATTGAATATCATTATGGAATTTCCTCAAGAATTTAAAAGTAGAATTACCATATGATCCAGCAATCCCTCTACTGCATGTATGTCTAATACATCTGAAATCAGAATGTCAAAATGTATGTGCATTCCCATTATCATGGTGTGATTAACAATAGCCAAGATATGAAATCAAGTTAACTGCTTATAATCAGATGATTAGATAATAAATGTGGTGGGTATACTCACAGGAACTCTATTCAGGCATAAAATGAAGGAAATCTTGTCCTTTCGGGCAGCATGAATGAACCTATGTGGCATTCATTTAAGAGAAATGAGCCAGGCACACACCACAAGGATTCACATGTGAATCTAAAATAGTCAACTCAAGAAGATAGAGTAAAATGTTGGCTGCCCGAGGCTGTGGGTAGGGATTTAGTAGGTGTTGGTGAAAGAACACCAAAATTCACCTAAGAGAAATAATCTCAAAGAATCTATTGTATACCATAATGAATATAGTTAATGATGTTAAATTGAACACTTGAAATAAATGGAAAGACAATATGGAAAGGGAAAATATTGCAAAACACGTATCTAATAAGGGTCGAGTACCCACAACTTATGATGAACTCTCACAGGGTAGGAGCAAAAGTATGCACATCTACACTGCGAAATGAGCAAGAGTTGAAATAACATTTCTGCAGAGAAGACATATAAACTACCAAAAAGCCCCCCAAAGCAAGCTCAGTTCGTCAAATGCAAATCAAAATCAAAATACAAGACAACTCCACAGCCAATACAAAGCTATCCTTTTAATTTTTTTGAAAATAACAAGTATTGGAAAGGATATGAAGATATTAGAAACTGTATGCATTAGAATACAAACTTTATTTGGCTATTCTTGAAAAAATTAAACACACAATGACCATATGACACAGTGGTTCCATTCTGAAAACATTAATATAATAATTGAAAACAAGTTTAGTCATTTGCTGCTTAACAGCCCCTGTAGGATCTGAGAATAGGTTTGTTATGTGATTTCCCCATTGTACAAGCATTTCAGAGGATACTCCACAAATTGAGATGGCCAGGACATGAATAAATTCAATGCTGTGGGGCAACCATGGTATATGCAGTTTCTCCTCTGTTACATGGCTGTACTCAAACAGATAAACACGTGCACATAATTATCAGAAGCACTGTTCCCGATTGTCAAAAGACAGTAAATATCCAAATGGCCATCAATAAGTAGAAGGAAAAACAGCTTGCCTTCTGTGTATATTCACACAGTAGAATATTATTCAGCAATAAAAAGGAGTGGAGTAAGTTAACATTACCAGTAAAACAGTCAAAATGAAGAACAGAAGGAGGAGGAGAGGATGAAGGAGGAAGGAAGGAATGAAAGAAGAAATGGAGGTAAGGAGAAAATCAAGGATTACAAACCATGTAGCAACATCAGAGTTTTCCCAAGTATCATATCACTATGAGCCAAATCAGAGAAGTCATATTCAAAGCTAGAATACAGTGATAATGTTAAAAATGCAATCTCTATTCTTACAAAAAGTAGGAGAGCAAAGGGAGGCATATGGGCTCAGCATCTGGTTCCAGATGTTGAAATATCATGCACCCCATTCTCAGGCTCTTCCTCAAAGAAACTGGGTGAATTACAGAAAATACAGTCAAGAAGTGACTCAGGATCAAATGAAGCCATGTGAGTAAAAATTCAAGCACAGATCTAATGAGTTAAACATTTTGCACTGAAGTTTTTCATTTTCATTCCTTCTAGGGGAAATGAGAGAACAAATTAAGGTGAAGAACACGAAGTTTCAAGCACTAGTTTTTTTGGAAAACCATGTCAGCACTTAATGTAATTGATTTACACCATGTAGGAAGTCTCAGGAATATCTGTAAAAAAAGTTACCAAACTGGACCATACATCATGACCACAGGAAGAAAAGTTAAAATGGAACACTACTGAGGAAAACGAACACAAAATTACGTAGAAGCAAGTGCCTGGGTGGTTCTGGAGTACAAAAAATTCAACTTGGCATTTGTGGGAGAAAAGTAGCCAACACACTGAAATTCACAACACTTGCCTTCAGAGCACACAATGTCCACTTGACTCTGAGGTCAATTATCCATCAGGGACAGGAGGCTGCTCTGGTAAGGAGTCTCCCCAGGGCCCCCTTCACATCCTTGTTCCTCAGGCTGTAGATGAAGGGGTTCAGCATGGGGGTGACCACAGTGTACATCACTGAAGAAATAGAGATTTTCTGGGCAGAATGAGTCACAGGAGAACTGAGGTAAACCCCAAGGCCTGTTCCATAGAACAAGGAGACCACACAGAGGTGGGACCCACAGGTGGAAAAGGCTTTATACTTGCTCACAGAGGACATCTTCATTAAGGAGGAGACAATCTGAGAGTAAGAGAAGAGAATTCCAGTGACAGAAATCGTACCCAGCACAACAGCCACCACAAACATAAAGATGTTGTTGACAAGGGTGTCAGAGGTGGCCACCTTGAGAAGCTGAGCCACTTCACAGAAGAAATGTGGGATTTCAGTGCCCATAGAGAAGGTCAGCTGCTTCAGCAATAGGATATGAATCAGGGACACCCAGCATATGATAAACCAAGAAATCAGAACCAGAAGGCCACAGTGCCGAGGGCTCATGATGACTATGTAGTTCAGGGGATGGCAGATGGCTGCAAATCTGTCATACGCCATTATCGTCAGTAGTAAAACATCTATTCCAACAAAAATCATACAATAATATGCCTGAGTGAGGCACTCTGTGTAGGATATGTCTTTCCTTTGTGCTTGAATGTTCACCAGCATCTTGGGGACCGTGGTGGAGATGAAACAGATGTCAACCAAGGACAGGTTGGAGAGGAAGAAGTACATGGGGGTGTGGAGGTGGGCGTCAGAGCAGATGGCCAGGATGATGAGCAGGTTCCCAAGCACTGTGACCAGGTACATGGTCAGGAACAGTCCAAACAGAAAGGACTGCAGTTCAGGATCCTCTGAGAGGCCCAAGAGGAGAAATTGTGCTAAGGCTGTGTGGTTCTCTTCTTCCATGCACCTGGTGTATCTGCTGGAGAAGGAGGTAAAAGCAATATCCAATAAGCAGCCTAGGGGGCACCCCAGTTACAACATCACCTTGGATGGATGCCCTTCTTTGTTGTTATTTGTGTTTGAACAAACACAAATGTTGTCTGTATAATGAATAATGAGCCCTAAATCTCTACCATAAGATAAAAGAGAAAGCTTGAAACTTCCCACTTGCCTGGACATAGACATGCAATTGAGTAGCAAGGTCCAATACAACACATTGATATTTATTTTAAAAGAAATACACATGATGAACCAGGAATACCAAGTACCTGAATGGAAGCCCCCTCAACGTACAGATGTTAACATAATTTTTCCCAAAACTAGAGCACTGAATACCCATCCTAACAACAATCACATTAAAAGATTGGATTTGGGAGGATGGAACAGGCATTTATAATGTTGGAGACTGTCAGTTAACAAGGACCTTTTCTGAACCCAGTAAAGAATGGTTTTTAAACTATAGCAACAGGAAATGTTACAGTGAAACACTGGAGTATTCATATTGAATCCTCTAACACTCCAGGACAGTCTTCTCCAACTCAATCATCTGAGATTTTCCTGGACATTTAAAGGAATTGGGAATGTAAAAAGAAAAGGAAGTTGGGTTAGTAATTAAATACCAAAAATATTTTCTTTATTGATAGATGATATTTTGGACACCACAGTGAAAGGATAACTATGAGTAAACTGAATCAAAGCTACAGTAACTCAAATCTGCCAGTAAACGTAGGTCAGGACATAAAAAGAAATGCCCATCAAATTTGATACCACTGCCTAACAGATCTCAGGTGAGTAGTTAATGCCTGAATAATTGGATGCAGGAAATCTGACAGGAGCCTACAACTTATAGGAGAGAGTGAAGAAGAATCAGAGACTCAGCTTAAAATTAGAGAGAAACTCTAGAATCCAAAGAATGAGAAAATGAAATGGAAGAATTTCTAGAAGAGAAAGATGTCAACAGAAACTAATTCCCTTCCAAGTACAGGCACTTCACCTTCAAAAGCTAAAAGATAGAGAGAAAGAGATAGAGAGAGAGAGAGAGAGAGAGAGAGAGAGAGAGAGAGAGAGAGAGAGAGAGAGAGAGAGAGAGATGAGGACTTTCCCAGTATGGTTATTCTAGAGCATAGCCCAGTACCTACGCTCTCTGCTCTTCCTTCTCACTATGACCAGCCTCACTGGGACACACCAGCCCTCCGTGATGGGTATGACTGAAGCTTTCTCTTCTCCATGATGTGTCCTTGGGAAGCCCTCATGCGTTCTCATAGAAGCTGAGATCAGAAACGTGCTGGTTAGGGACAAAGGTGGAAGGTTTATAGTGTCTAGAATCTCAACCTTTGAAGTCTCCAAACTCCTCATTAAATAAAATGTTATGTTGTCTTTCCATTCTCCAAACAATTCAGCTCCCTTGGGGTACAAAGAAGAAAACAGACTGGAAGATTATCAGCCCATCTTATGTCTGTGTAAGATAAATAGATTTCCTCCCTGGAGAAACTCTTTTTTCCCTGTAGTTTAATTTCAAAGTTACAAGGTTTATTCCAAGGGATGTTTAACTTCTATAAGGCACCAATCCCAGAAAAAAAAAATCTCTCTGGACATCCTCCTTAGAAGAATCTTTGGAGATTCTCTGAATCATATGGTGCCTACAACATTATGAGGGGAAACTAAGTCCATTTTTGTACATATCCAATATCTTCTATTTAGTTTATTTTTAATGGTGCATTAGAATCGTGGGAAATAGTGGAATTCATTATGCCATATTCGTACATACACTTGACATCATTTGAACAGTCTCGTTCTGAAACACCTTGCCTTGTCCTCTCTCCTGTCTTTCCAAGCCTACTTGCTCTACCCCACAAACCTCCCCTCTATTATTATTATTATTATTATTATTATTACATTTTTATTACATATATGTCAGCAGGATTCATTGTGTTATAGGTAAGTAGACACTGAACCATAATGGGCAGGGGTCAAGCAATGAATGGAGGAACTTTGGATGGAGCAAAATGCATGGGGGTGGGGGGTGAATGTGGGGAAAGAAAGTAGAATGAGGTGAACATTATCACCCCTGTGTATGAGTAGGGTTGCACGAATGGTGTGACTCGACATCATGTACAACCAGAGAAATGAAAAGTTGTGCTCCATTTATGTAAAAAAATAAAATAAAATTAATAATAATAAATTTTTATAAAGATAGGAAATAGGACTATAACTCAGTGGTAAAGTGTGTACTTAGCATGCATGAGGTCCTAGATTCAATCCCCAGCATCAAGAAAGAAAGAAAGAAAGAAAGAAAGAAAGAAAGAAAGAAAGAAAGAAAGAAAGAAAGAAAGTAAGAAAGAAAGAAAGAAAGAAAGATTGAAAGATTGAAAATTTTTAAAACCCATTTGTACATAAATAGCATAATTTGGTAGATTCCATTCACCAATATTTCCCAGTAGCCTCTCCTCCTTCCTCCCACCGGACCCTGTCCTCTACTTCATTCTGTCCCTCTGAGATCCCCATTTTTATTTTCTTTTTTTCCATCCTTTACCTTCACATGAGAAAACGTTTGACTCTTGACTTTCTGAGTCTATTTTATTTCAATTATCATGGTGTTCTCTGTTCCATTCTTTTTACCAGCAAATAATATATTTTCATTCTTTGTTATGGCAGAGTAAATTCCATTGTATATACACATCACATATTATTTGTCCACTTGTCTGATGATGGGTACCTAGACTGGTTCTGCAAATTGGCTATTGTGAATTGCTACAGACATTGGTTGGTATACAACAAGAAGTCCTTTCTTTCCAAAGACTGTCTTTTCTCTAAAGTATGTTTTTGACAGTCTGATGGCTGTATCTTCATGCATCTGGCTCTGTGTCTTTTTCCCCATTGATTTTCATGCTTGTCTTTGTCCAACTATCACAGTTTTGTTACTATTTTTCTATACTATAACTTGAGATCAGGTATTGTGATGCCTCCAGCACCACTCTTATTGCTCAGGGTTGCTTTGGCTATTCTGAGTCTTTTAGTCTTCTATATTAATTTTAGGACAGTTTTTTCTAGTTCCGTGAATGAAAAATGCCATTGATATTTTGATGGGGGTTGCATTAAATGTGTATGTCATTTATGGTCAAATGGCAGATATGACAATATTAAAACCTGACTATTAATTCTGCCTCTCCAAGAACATGGGAGCTCTTTCCATCTTCTAAGATATTTTCCACTTCTTTCTTCAGTATTCTATACTTTCATTATGCAGATATTTCACCTAATTGGTTAGATTTATTCCCAGGTTTGTTTGTTTGTTTGTTTTTTGGTTAGGCTATTGTGAATGGAATTGTGGCCCTCATTTCTTTATCAGGAGATTCAGTATTGAAGTATAGAAATCTATTGATTTTTGTATGCTAATATTATGTCCTGCTACTTTGCTATTTTGCTTATCAATTCTAGAAGTCTTCTGGTGGATTTTTTTGGGGGGTCTTCTAAGTATGGGACCATTTTGTCTGCAAACAGATAATTTGACCTTTTCTTTCCTATTGTATCTCTTAAATTTTCTTCTCTTGACTGATTGCTTTGGCTAGCGTTTCAAGAATGATATCAAATAGAAGTGGCGAGTGTGGAAATTTGTCTTGTTCCTGATTTTAGAGGAAATGCTTTCAGTTTTTCTTTCTTTGGTGTGATGTTGACTTTAGTTTTGTCATGTACAGTATATTTTTATTTTTCCACATTTTTATTGGTGCATTATAGTCGTACACAATGATGGGATTTATTGTTACAGATTCATACATGACACAATACAACAGTATAATTTTGCAAATATTAGTTCCCAGTATTTCCCCCCTCCCTCTTCACTGCCCTCCTGTTGGTGCATTTCCTCTATTGATCTCCCTTTGACTTTCATGAGATTTGCCCCCACTTTTCTTTTCCTTTATCCTGTCTAGCTTCCATATGAGAGAAAACAAAGCCCCCTTGATCTTCTGAGTTTGACTTATTTTGCTTAACATAATGGTTTCTAGTTCCATCCATTTACCTGCAAATGACAAAATTTCGTTTTTCTTCACAGCTAAATAAAACTCCATTCTGTATATAAACCACATTTTCTTTACCCATTCATTAATTCATGGACACCTAGCTGTTCCATTGTTTGGCTATTGTGAATTGTGCTACTATAAACATGTCACATGTAGTATTTTTGATGCTGAGTTAAGTTCCTTCTGTCACTATTTTCTTCAGTGTTTTTAACATGAATAGATACTGGATTTTGTCAAGGTTTTTTTTTTTTTTGCATCTATGGGGATGATTATGGGATTTTTTTGTCCTTACTTCTATCCATGTGTTGGATTATATTTTTTAATTCATATATGTTGAATCAATCTTACATCCCTGGGATTATCCATTTTTTCTTGGTGCACTATCTTCTTAATATGTTTTTGGATGTTGATTGTCAATATATTTTCAAGAACTTTAACATCTATGCTCATCAAGGATATTGATATGTAGTATTTTTTTCCATTGATTTGTCTTGGTTTTGGTATCAGGGTGATCCTGTCTTCGTACAATGAATTTGAAGGTGTTCCTTCATTTCTATGTCATGAAATAATTTAAGGGAGATAGCATCATTTCTTCTTTCAAGGTTTGGTGAAGTGCAGCTGAGCATCCATGGTCCTAGACTTTTCTTCTTGGAAGGTTTTAATTTCTACTTTAATCTCCACACTTGACATTGGTCTGTTTAGGTTTTCTATATCCACTTGACTCAAGTTGAACAGGTAATACCTGTCTAAAACTTTTTCAATATCTTCTAGATTTTCTAATTTATTGGAGTATAAGTTTTAAAAGAGTCCCTAATGATCCTCTGTATTTCAAAAGTGTCTCTGTAGTTTCAGGAACTGATATTAAAAATTGATTTTTCTGTCTGTAAAATCCATTGGGTGAATCTATTAATATGAGAAGAATAAATTTAAATATCAATTAATTTCAAGCACTAAACACACTTAAGTAATACAGTGCACTGTATCTGTTCAAGCACCCTCTTATTTTTTAACCCCATGAATGCACTAGAAGAAGTTAAACAAAACATGTCTTGTATCATATTCAAAATTGCACTGTTTATATCAGGTTCCCTTTAATTACTGGAATGCTTACTTTTTAATGTTTTCATTAGTGCATTCTAGTTGTTGTACATCATAGTGGGGTTCATTTTGACAAATGAAGACATGCATATCAATATAATTTGCTTCATTTCAATCCCTGTACTTGTACTTTTCCTCCCCTCATTCCTTACCCAGTTCCATTTTCTCTGCTGTTATTCCTTCTATTTATTTAATCTTCTTTAATAGGTACTTGGAATATATACATAAGGTGGAATTCTCTGTGGTTTATTATATGTGTACATAGCATAATTGGGTCAAGTTCATTCTGCAGTTCTTCCTTTTACCCATCTCTCCTCCCTTCCTCTCAACCTCCTCCCTAGACTCCACTAATCTCCTTTATATTTTCATGGGATCCCCTCTTTAAAAATTCTTTATTTCTCTCTAACTTCCTCATATGATGGAAAATATTTGATCATTGACTTTTTAAGTCTGGCTTATTTCACTCAGAATGAGTTTCTTCAGTTCCATTCATTTTACCAGCAGATGACAGAATTTAATTGTTATGTCTGAGTAAAATTCTGTTTTGTCTATAGACCACATTTTCTTGATTTATTTCTTTGTTGATGAACAGCCAGGCTTTCCATAACTTAGTGATTGTGAATTGTTGTGCTATAAATACTGATATGCTTGTATCATTATAGTATGCGGACTTTGCTTGTTTTGCATAAATACCAAGGCGTGGGAGAGCTGGGCCATATGGTGATTCCATTTGTAGTCTTTGGAGGAATCTTCATACCACTTTCCAAAGTGGTTGTTAGTTTGCATTTCCACCAACAATTTAGAATATTTCTTCCATGTCTCCACCAGTATTTATTCTTGTTAGTATCAATGCTTGCCGTACTAACTAGAGTGAGTTGAAATCTCTGTAGTTTTGATTTGCAATTCCCTCATTAATGAGAATGTGGAACTTTTTTTTTTCATATATATTTGTTGGCCATTGGTATTTCTTCTTTTGAGAAATGTCTGTTTAGTTCTTTTGTGCATTTAGTCCTTAGATTATTTGGGTTTTTCTAGTGTTATTTGAATTCTTTATATATTCTGAATATTTATCTCTTGGTAGAAGGGTAATTGGCAAATATTTTCTCCCATTATGTAAGCTCTCCCTTCACACCCTTTTTTCCTTTTCTGTACAGAGACTATTTAACTTGATGACATCCCACTTATTGATTCTTAGTTTTATTTCTTGAGTTTAAGGGGTCCTGTTAAGTAAGTCAGTGTCCGTGCCAATATGTAGAGATTCAATGCAGTCTTCATCAAAACCCAGTGACATTTTTTACAGAACCCGAAAAAAATAGCCTTAAAATTCACTTGAAAGAATAAAAGACCCAGAATAGCCAAAGCAATATTGACCCAAGAGAGTGATACTGGAGGCATCGTATTGCCTAATCTCAAACAGGCTACAGAACTTCAATAACAAAGCAGCATGGTTTGGGCACCAAAACAACATGCAGACCAGTGGAATAAAATAGAAGCAAAAAGACCAACACACATAGATACAGTCTTCTGATACTTGACAAAGACACCAAGCTATGTGTTGGAGGAAAAAAATACATTTTAAAAAAAGGTGCTGAGAAAATTAAATATCCATATCCTACCCTTTGCCCTGCCTAAAAGCCAATTAAAAGTGGATCAGAGAATTAGGAATTAGTCCAGCAACTTTGAAACTGCTAGAAGAAAACATAGGGTCAGTACTCCAGCATTTAGACAAATACTCACTTTTTTCCCAACAAGAGGTAAATAGGGGCTGGGGCAGTAGCTCAGTGGCAGAGCTCTTGCCTAGTACATGTGAGGCACTGATTTGATCCCCAGCACCACATTAAAATAAACAAATAAAATAAAGGCATTCTTTCCATCTATAACTACAAAAATTTTTTTAAAGAGGTGAATATCAATTAAATAATCTCTAATTTGAGACATGAAAATGACTGGACCATAGGGAAAAGATTTTTCTAACATCAAGTCATTTTATGGTGGGAGGCAGGAATAGGATACTAGGATCATGGCCACAGAAAAACTCACAGAACATAACATATAAAATTGAAGGTAGCCATATTTGTGTAAGAAAAATATTTGATGCTCTTTGTTCTAATCTCAATTCCCTCTTCTATGGTGAGTATCCCAAAGAAAGAAAAGCAAAACCCAAAACCCTATTATTGCCTGTTGTGTGTCCAGTTATAAAATAAATAGGTCCTATTAGTTTTTATCTTTGTTTTATAGCACTTATCAAACATGCATTTTATTCTACAACTATTAATCTGAATCATCCTAATAATAAACATGAACAAGCCACACATTTTTTCTCTCAGTAGTTTGGGGAGTACACTGCAGAAAGCCAACCAGTGGAAGGGGAAATCAAAATAGTAAATATGTACCTTTATAATTCAGATCTTCAGTATCTTTTTGTGAGTTAGTGTGAATGCTAGTTTTATGTGTAAACTTGATGGATCATTGGTGCCCAGATATTGGGTCAGACATTGTTCTGGTCTGTGTGTCTGTAAGGGCTTAATATATTTAGTTGAAATTAACATTTGAACTTGTTGGCTGAGTAAAGCAAATTGCTCTCTTGGATTACTCTGTTTTCTGTTACTACAACATAATACCCGAGTCTTGGTAACTGATAAGGAGGAGAGGTTTTTTAGCTCACAGTTTTAGATGCTAAAGATCCAGTGTGGCACTGGCTTTGATGGGCATCATGGCAAGTGGTATTATGCACATGAAAGGGAGAGAATACAAGGCAGGACAGGAAGCCAGAGAGTGTGGACAGGAAACCGGAGTGGAATAAAAGACTGTCCAGTGTGGACAGTCTTGCAGGGAGACCTGAAATGTGCTACCACCACTGAAAACTCACTGGGACACCCAGAACAAGGATGTGTATTTAAAACCAACTTTATTTCTTGAGCATACTTTGAAACATTTTAATTGCAGACAACTCACCCCATGTCTTTTTCCACATCCTACAACTTATCACTCTGGTTTCAATCAAGAAGTAGAAACAAATTTCCTTATTTTAAAGGTGAGAACTGAATACCGGCAATTGCTTTAACTTAGTGATGAACAAGGCAAAGAGGGAATCGTGTGGGAATAGACATAGTAACTGAATGGATCCTCTAAAGCAGTGAGGGCATAGGGGTGTGAAGGGCGTAGTGAAATACACCAAGTTCTCATGGTAGTGAAATTTAGTGACCATGCATGAATGTGTGGAACACCAAAACCAGGTGGAAAATACAGTCGTCATTTCAGGAGTCCTTACTCAGCAACAAATATAACTATAGAATAGTGAGATTAAAGCAGAAAATCAATAACATAAAACCAGCCTGATGACAACCTGTATGGCATGGCAGGCAATGATTTGAAGAAGATATTTGAAGAAAACCACCTTTCCTGATGTTGCAATAAGCTCCTTTCCAACCCCTTTGGATTTGATCCCTTTAAGAACCAACGTCTGAACTTTCCTTTTGAAGCATTTTGAAAACTTTATGATGAGTCAGACTCTTCTGGTAAGACCCAAGCCTCCGTATTTTTAATCTCCCAAGATTATTCCAATAAAATTCAATATGGAGCACCATTGATATGGCCCCTAGACATAATATGCCTGAATGGACATATTCACTTTTAAAAGAAAATGCACATGACCTTCAAAATGATGTCACTTTTACCTATATTTAAAAACTAGTTTAGTATTTCACCTGGAGGCCAGAATCCTTGCTCAGAAATGACAGAAGATACATGGGTATGTTGATTTTATCATGATGTTTACAATGAAAAAGGATTTCAGAATACTTAGCAATTGAATTAAACACAAACCAAAGGAAATAGGAATCAGATAGGAACCAGAGAGTGGAAGGAAAGCCAAGAAGCCATTATCAAAAATAGTGATTTAAGGAGACGGGATTTGAAGGTCTCAATGACTGATTGTTCTAAACCACATTAGAAAAGGGATATATGACAAAATGAAATTAGAATGCTGTGCTGTGGAGTCTTTTCAGGGCATTTTTAATGTCCCTGTTCCTCAGGCTGTAGATGAAGGGATTCAGCATGGGGGTGACCACAGTGTACATCACAGAGGACACCACATCCTTCTTGAAGGAAGATGACACAGCTGAACCAAGGTACACGGCCAGGCCTGTTGCATAAAATAAGCAAACAACTGCCAGGTGAGACCCACAGGTGGAGAAGGCTTTGTACTTCCCACCTGAGGATGGGATTCTTATAACAGAGAAAACTATTTTATAGTAAGAGAAAAGAATGCCCGAGAAGGGGAAAAATCCAAACATGGCACCAGTAAAATACATGACCATATTATTGGTGAAGGTGTCAGAACAGATAAGATTAAGAAGTTGAGATGGGTCACAGAAGAAATTAGACATTTCCACATGCTGATGATAGGTGCATTGTAAAGCAATCAAATTGTGAAGCTGGGAGTCTAAAATGCTAAACAAAAAGGACACAAATGCTAAGACTCTACAGAGGCGAGAATTCATCATGACTGGGTAATGCAGGGGGTGACAGATGGCCACAAACCGGTCATAGGCCATCACACTAAGAAGCAGACTATCCATACATACAAAAACACTAAAAAGGGACATCTGTGTCAGGCAGCCGACATAGGAAATAATCCTGCTGTGAGTTTGGATGTTCACCAGCATCTTTGGGACCGTGGTGGAGATGAAGCCAATGTCAACCAAGGACAGGTTGGAGAGGAAGAAGTACATGGAGGTATGGAGGTGGGAGTCAGACCTGACAGCCAGGATGATGAGCAGGTTCCCAAGCACTGCGACCAGGTACATGGACAGGAACAGGCAAAAGAGGAGGGGCTGCAGGTCTGGGTCCTCTGAGAGGCCCATGAGGTGGAACTCCATGACATTTGTTAGATTAGATTTTGTTCCACTATATTCATTGGAAACCTTTTGAAAAAGAAAAAGCAATAGAGGGAAGGAAACAAATAAATAAGTATTCAGCACTCTGTGTGTATTTTTAATTTGTGCACTCACAATTACAATATGCACAATTGAGATCTATACTCCTTTACCAGTATTTCTCAATATAACAAACCCAACCTTCTTAGGACTCTTTCATTATTGGTTTATATATTATTCATTTTTTCTATACACACTATTTTAGAGAAAATCAACTGCACAAGTTTAAAACACTAAGAATATTATACATAACAGGTCCATTATCTTAGTAAAATAAATCATACTCTTATAAGAAAAATAAATATTCTTCTCTAAGAAAAAAGTCTTTCTCAATAAAGAAAATTAAGAAATATGCCTTATGTTATTCTATCACAAAGGTATAAATTTGAGTTAAGATTTATATATAAATACAGCTACAACTGCATTTTCTGGATACTAAAGGCAAGCCAATGGCTCATAATCAGAAAATAACATTATATGTCAGTTATCTTCTAGGCTATGTTAGTCAGGTTTTTTTTGTTAAGAAAATATGTGACATAAGCAACTTAAAGGAGGAGAAGTTTAATTTTGGTTCAGAGTTTCAGAGGTTCCTGTTCATGGTTGGATGGCTCCATTTCTTTGGGCCTGAGATGAGACATAACATCATGGTAGAAGGAGGTAGCTGGGGAAAGCTGCAAAGCTTATAACAGCTACAAAGAACATAAGTTGACTTCAAATGCCTTACCTGATGCATAGCATAACTGGGGGGCAGGGACATATAGAAGTTGTCATTTTATTATTTTGTCAATCCTTCAAAAATACGTGTGCCTCCTCCATATTACTCAGTGATAACTTCCAGATATGTGTGTGGAGGATTGTTGCTTGATTTCCAATAATTGATGCATTTCATTTTTAATATTTATCATCTAAATTTGTTTTACCAACAAAATAAGTCCTTATCAATAATCCTCATATTTTAAAGATATATCATTAAAATATCACTGAATTCTGTTCAGGAATAATCCTTCCAATAAAACTCATCAAAGAATTTCATTTTGTATGGCCAATGATATTTTCCATTTCACTCCATGAAAGGAGAAGTGGCCCTGAGATGGAACTTGAAAAATCATTGTTTTAGTTAGGTATCATTTTCCTGCTCCACTATGCAGAATATATGTAGATGTCTCCACCTCTCTGTGCCCACAGAGTTTAATGGAAATAGAGTGACCCCCATCTCACTTCATGTGTGAAAACCAAGGGGACTTTGGAACTTCCCACATATTTGGTCTTTGTGTGTATGTGTTTTTATACAATAATGTATTCCATCATTAAGGCATTACTGACTTTTTTGAAAAATACAATTGTCAAAAGGCATCGGAGCTTGGACTGATGAAAAAACAAATATTTTTTTCAGCCCGAACAATAAGTGAACCTGTCCTTCCTATTTCTGCCTCATTTCCTTTCTTTATACCCATAAAAATCTGTGCCATGATCTTTTAAAGATTAATTCTATAAATGATATTGAAAGAAAAAAGGGCCATGCATCTATACCATGAACACAATCAAGTCATGGTTTTAACTTTTCTCTTTCTGAGACATTTCTGAAAGGTCTGAACATAAAGACAAAACTGCACCAGATGTGTTGGAACAAAGTGGCCAATTTGGGGAACCAAGGAAGGGTTGATTCATAAACAGAATTTATGAAGCCTCTTTTGTGCCAAGACAAACAAACAAACCACAACAAAAAGCCCAGCTCTAGATAAACAGAAATGAAAGAAAGTGAGAAATTCTACTCCAAATACACAGCATAAGCATCTATAGGGACAAAAAGGAACTGTGCCATCTACAAATAGGAAAATGGTCACTTCAGGCTACAAGATATATTTTTGAATGGTAAGAAGATGAATCTCATCAATAATAACAACAATAAAAAGTGTGGCTATATTTTATATTGTCTTTTTAAACAAATTCATTATACATGCATCACATAGGACATCCCTTTAACGTTTAGTCCTATTCACTGCAGGTAAATTATCTAGAAAACCCTTCAAAGAGTAATGGTGATTCTCACAGACACTAAAACCCTGCTGTCTGTCCCAGAAAAAATAGGTGGACCTGACAAGATCCTAAATTAGATTGTTAGCCTCTGGATCCAATCCCGGAAAATTTTTAATGGGGTCTAAGCCAAATTAAATGTTTAAAGCAGAGGACCAGAACTCTTAACCACTGGTACACAGGAGGAATACTTTTAAGTCTATTATGGTTTTACGGTTAGAAATGAAATTAAGACCTGACATCACATCTTCTTTTCAGATTCGGTGGACGGATTATATGTACAGATGAGGACGTGGGCACCTGCAAGGCTGTCTTAGAATAGACAGGGAGAGAAAGGAATCATTGCTGTAATTATATGCTGAATTATTATGAGCCTACCATTTCTGTAATATTGACTGAGGACCTTGAACTGCCCTTGAATTTTCAGGTGCCAACCACTGCTGTCCCATGTCATCTACCAAAGAAGAAAAGAGAACAGTGAGCCAGGAGTCTTCACCTGGAGTGACAAGGAAGAGAAATAAATGGTTGGGCTGGGAAGGGAACAATTTCCAGAATTCTCATGGTCTGTAGCCCTTTGTCTGCAATTGAAGAGCCCAGTTCAAACATAGATTCACTCTTCTACCGAAAAGCCTAGTATGAGTCACAAAAAAGGTGCTCTTTCATTTCTCTAAAATAATAATAATTTAGGCCTTAAATAACTGCAGCATGACAAAACACATAAAATAAGCTACTGGAACAGACAGAAACTGCACTGAGTACTTAGGAGGCCCCACAGTAAGGGAGGGGGGGTGAGCATCATCTTCTTTAAACTTTTCATTGCCTTAATAAGCCTTTAATGTTCTTGAGAAATAGTTTAGGGGGACTCATTTTCTGCTGTAGTATGCAAGATACCAATGGGAAGTAGAACTAGATTGGGTGGAAAGCAAATTCTGAATAAGATTCCTGATATCCCTAACACAACCAGGAACAGAAACTTCACTGTTCTCGTAGCTGAAGCCTTGCACATTGGTACCCTCCAATCTGGCCGCCCGACCTTCATGTGTGTGCTCATGATGACTAAATATTATTTCCAAGAGTCCTTCCCACTGCACAGGTTCCCTCTGTACTTACTGGGTTGTGCTGCTTCTCTGCTGGGTCATCACCACTGAGTGTAAAAACAAAGGCCCTTATGTGTCTGGTGACCAGTGTATACTCGAGTCCATCTTCAGGACTGATATGAAGACAATGTCAGATAGGAGCTTCCAGATGCATGAACAGTTGTGGAGTACACTATGCTAGAGCTGTCAGACTAAAGGACTGTAGGGACAGGCTAAATTTTGACTTTTATTCAACCTTGAAGGCACAATGCACAGAGTTCATAATTATCCATATTGGTCCATGTTACCCAAATCTCTAGGGACTTCCTAATTCTAATGCAGGAAAAAGACAAAGAGAAAATTAATGTCCACATTTTTTGATGCTCCCCTCCTCACTATGAAGCGTGTGTATACTATTCACTTATTTCATTTCTCTCTTTTATAAAAAAAGATCAATCTACCAATTATTTCCATTTTTATTAGAGTAATATTATATAACAAAAATGAACATTTTAACCACATTAAATACAAACTTCAGTGAAATGAATTACCTTCACATTGTTGTGAAACTGTCACCATCATGCAGCTCCAGAACCTTTTAATCTTCCCAAACTAATAATTCATACTCATTTAAAAAATTCCCAGTTCACTCCACTTGCAACCCTTCCAACCCCTGTTCCCCTATGAAACACAACAATGAATACAAGCCCTTGGATTACCAACAAGTGTGATAAAAGAGACATTATTTATAGACCTATATTTGAAATGGTCTATAGGTAATGACATTAGACTAAGCTACTGTGGACCCAACTGAGGGTACTTTTAATGTTCTTGTTTCACAACTTGTAGATGAAAGGATTCGAGCATAGAGATGACCACAGTGTACATCACTGATGTCATAGCACTATTTTTGGGAAAATACAATATTTTGCTGAACTAAGGTACATGCCAAGTTTTGTTCTATAAAGTTAGCAAAAATCTGACAGGTAAAATATACAGGTGGACAAAGCTTTATAATTTTCGCCCAGTCACACATGATTTTCATAATGGAGGAAGCAATTTTTTTTCTAAGATAAATGAATCTCCATAATGGGAAATAAAAAATTAAATATGGCAACAGTGAAGTAGACAACAATGTAATTATTGAAGATATCAGGCCAGGAGAGTTTAAGAACTTCTAAAGACTGATATAAAATAATAGAAATATGCACATCCTTGATGTAGTTAAATTTCAAAGCAGTCAAACTGTGCAGCAAGAATTACAAAATATTAACCCAAAAAAGACAAAAATTAAGAAGTCAGTGACAGGAGGGTTCATGATGATTGGGTAATGACGAGGGTGCTGGATGGCCACAGACTGGTCATAGGTCATCACCACCAGATGCATGCATACAAAAATGAGAAAAAAGAAACACCTGTGTCAGGAAGCCCACATAAGTGATGACTCTCCATTGAGTTTGGATGACCACAATCATCATTAAGACCACAGTGGAGATGAATCAAATGTTAGGCAGGGACAGTTTGGAGAGAAAGATACACATGGGGCTCTTTAGGTCAGATTCTAAGGTGTTGGCCAGAACAAGGAGCAGGTTCACAATCACTGTGACCAGGTACATGGACAGGAACTGTTCAAAGGGCACAGGCTGCGGTTATGGATCATCTGAGATGGAATTCTGAGACAGGAATTAGGTTTTGTGGTTCTATTGCACCATTATCATATTTGTTTCATTCATCATACACCAAAATCAAGTTGGCTTCATTGTGTATATTTCAACAAACACACAAAAATTATAATACAGCACATAAATAAAATCAAGGATAAACATTACATGGTCATCTCAACAGATGCAGGAAAGCCTTTCATAGAATTCAACCTCCCTTTGTGATAAAAGTTCATACCTGGACATAATAAAAGCTGTGCATGATAAAGCCATAGCCAGCATAAATGGGAAAAAGTGAAAACATCTCTTCTAAGATCAAGAATAAGACATGGGTGGCCACTGTCACTGCTCCTACTTAATATAGTCAAAAAATTTCAGTAAAATCAATTTGACAAAAGACATAAATAAAAGGCAAATAAGAAAGGGGGAGTAAAATTCATGTGTTTAATATTGTCCAATCTGTAGAAAATACTAAAGTCTCTACCAAAAGACATTCTG